TGTCTTTATCCCCATTTTACAGATGAGGAAATAAAGCCTAAGGACAGGTTGGGTGTCTTGGCCCAGATCACACCGCAGGCAAGTGGCAGAACTGGAATAAAAACCCAGGCTGTCAATTTCAGAGCCCAAGCCCTTAACCCTGACGCCACGTGCACTGCATAATAATTTTGGCTTAAACCTTACGTTTTGCAAAAATGTGGAAAACCTAGCTGTCAGAAAGGTATGTAGGACTGGAAGATATCTAACAAAAGGGAGTCATGACCAAAATGTAAGGAAGAAGGCTGGCGAGCAAGACTCCTCTTTAGTGTTCTGATAGGAAAAAAGATCAGGTGTGAATGTTTCTGTTCGAGAAATCATCTGTGTGGGGTATTTTTCTGGGGGGAAAAAAAGTCCAAGATCTGTTCAATCTCTGAGACCATCGATTCCCAACTCTTACCAAATGCTAAATCAAACTCAAGGCAAACAATTAAAATTTATTTCATTTTAAAAACCGCCAAGTTAACACTTAATTGGTACCTCCGTGCAAGGATCATAAAGAAAAATAGTCAGATTCTACATATGTGAAGAAGTCACTCATTTATTAAGTGCCTATCCTGTCCCAGATTCTGGGCCAAGCACCTTTATAAAAAAAATCTCTTTCTAATCTTTAGGGCAATCCTATTATAAACATAGGCACTGTTCCCATTTTAGGAAGAATAGTAACTCTTATTTTACAGATAATAATTATGACTAACATATATTGATCACACAGTATGGCGTGCCATTCTAAAAGCTTTCCATGCAGGAATACTTTTACCGGCACAGAGAGGTTAAGTAATTTGCCCAAAGTCACACAGCTAGTGAATGGCAAAACCAGCACGAAAAACTAAAGTAGAAAGGTAAAGCAACTTGCTCCAAGGCCACAGCACTGTCAGCCAGGGAGCCATCAGACTAACGCAAGGCGGCCCGCCCAGGTTCCTTCCACGTGTCGCCTGCCTAGTCCCACCTGTGTTTACCAGGGCCTGGCAGTAGAGAGATGTAGAGCCTAATGCAAACTGAAGAGCACAGGAGCCATATCTAAAGGGGCCAGGGTCTTCAATTCAAAAGGAGAGAGAAATAGAGACCTTGATAAAAAATTATCTGGATTTTTAAATATTGCCTCAACGTTTGCTAAAAAGCAACACACAGGCACAAAAAAAAAAAAAAAAAAAAAAAAAACCCATATGCATGGGCTATTGGCTTACAACTGCTCTTTATTTATTAAGGCTCTTAAAAGATGGGCTGTATGATCACGTCCAGCATCGTCAGAAACCAGAGCTGCTAGGCCATGCTGACTCACAAGTCCTCTCCCGGGCCCTCCTCACTCTGAGCTTGCAAACTGTGTGCTCAAGTTACTGAAACCGCATGTGACATTTTGCATATTTGGATTCCTGCAAGTGTCTTTTAATCCCACTTTTTTTTAAAGTTGCCACACATGCACGCGGCAAAATAAAAAGCACTTCCCACACCCGAGCCTGCCAACTCTTCAACTGAATTAACTCTGCAGAAAACGCTGCCGCAGCCTTGACCACTACCTTGACACAGGGTCCCCACACGGCAGGCAGTCCAGCCCCGGGAATCCTGCTCCGGGCCACCGTGCCTCATTTCCTCATTTCCTCCCGGCCTTCTTTAATCAGCTGGAAGAGACTTGAGGAAATGAGTCAAAATCCTAAGGGTGACTTGGAACGGCTGTCAACAACAACAGCAAAATTCATCACCACCACATCTGTACGTAAATGTGCTCCAAGGGAAGCCCAGGGAAGACCTGGCACATTTCTGATGAGAATTTTCTTTGGGGAGGAAGAAAAAGGTTTTGAGTGGGAAATTGTGGTTATTTCTCACCGTGCTCATCCAGGGCAAATAACCGACGGTATCAGCCGTTATTGGGGGTTTTCGGGTTCACAACTATGCACCAGTGTAGGAAGCTAACACCGTTGTCATTTTTTTGCAGTGGCAGATGGATTTCAATCGACTTGTGTCATCATTTTAAAGTCAGCTTGTTGTCACTTCTAAGGGACCCCCCCTGGGATGGGACAATTAATAATACCTTAAAGCCCTCAGACTGCATGATCAAATGCCTGCACCCCCTCTTCCAAGCTATAATGAATCCTCCCTCAGAGAATGCGTCCCTAAAATCGAGAACACTCTTAACTTGGGCAATTCTAGGTCTTTTTCACCCAAACTGGGACGGTGGCGACCTTGGGCAGACTGCATTCCCAAACCCTCCAACCATGCCTGGAGGATAGGAAGGACTCGCTGAGTATTTGTGAATGAGTCTTGCTTTACAACAGATTCTGGTGGATCCTATAAACGGATACACAGTGGGACATATGGAGACGAGAACAGGCTTCGCCACTGATTATTTCGGGCTCATCCTCAGCCAGTTTCTCCAGTTGTCCAATACTAGGGGTGGTCATAGCTACTTCCTCCTGGGCTTGTTGAAAGTACTAGAAACAGCAGGTGAAGCCCCACAAGCACAGGGCCTGGCACACAGTTTCCAATTAAAGAGCAATTAACCAGGTACAACGTGGGTGTAATGTGAAATTGAAGGCATATCAGAAACCATGCACGGCATACATGATTGATAGAGTCAAGAAAGAAAAATGTGTGGATGGGCAGGAAAAGACCAGAATAAACAGGGATAAATGAATGATCTGGGATCCCTTTACAAAACCGTCACACTACGTCCAGCAGGACAATAAGTCAGATCGCCTTGTGTCCAGACGCTGAGGATAACTTGAGCCTCACATCTGCAGGAAAAAGGGGAAGGGATGATTCACGCTCCTTTGCAGGTTCATCCTGTTGAGCATAAAAGCTGTAAATATTGGGGGGTGGGGGTGGGGGGGATGAGGGTCATCACAGAGCTGGCACCTCCCAGCCATCACAGAAAGGGTAGTGCAGAGGAGCACGTGGGACCCGAGGGGTGCGGAGTATAAACCACAGGCTCCCCGCTTAGCCAGGGGCAGAGCAGTACAATGCACCCCTCCATACACCACGTGGCCCCGGGGACCAGGAGGCTGGAAGGGATGGGGGGGAGGGGGCGGGGATAGTGGATCAAGAGTGCCGCGTCTACACTCGGGAACGGTGGAGGCGGAGCACTCTGGACCCAAAGGATCCTGCATGATGCGGATGCCCCATCGTACTCTGGAGGGAACTGGACTCCCCAGAATTTAAGCCACCTGCCCAAGGGCGCGAGCCACTGACCGGCAGGGGACAGAACACACGGGCAGAGCAAGCATTAGTCACTGTACCACACTGCCCCCAAGGAGACAGACCTGAAAATTCCCTGCCAGACGTCTACTGGAAGGAGCAGGCTGACGAGGAGGAAGAAGGAATCCATGGATGCGCTTAATTTTTAGAAAGGGAAATATCCACTGTGTGGTCTCTGTCCTTGTAGTGCCCTGGTGGGGTCAAGCTCACATAACCTTAACTGATATCATCAACAAAAAGGCCAAGGCACAAAACCATAAAGGCCAAAGGTGTCGTTTTAAGTAAGCCAGGCGATCAAATCCGCCCAGGGATCCGAACACTCCCTGGTGACCCCTGCTGACCCCTCGTGCCGCGCAGGGGCCCAAGCGCGAGGCTGCTGTCCCCCACCAGTAAGGGACAGTCTCACTACAGTGCTTTGCCATGCGGCCGCGGGGGCTCTGGATTGCAGTCCAGACCCACTTCTATCCCAACATCATCAGGGATCAGGGTAACCCTAAAGGGTTTTTATTATATATATATATATTTTTTTTTTTTTTTTAATGACCTGGGAGAGGTCAGGGCTTCAGGGATCAGCCCGGCGCCCCGCGACCCGCGCGCGCACGCGACAGCCTGGAAGGACGGGCACGGGAGGCAGGACTCGGGCAGAGCTCCGGGAACCTGCAGCACTGAGAATAAATCCTTCACCGTAAGACCCAGGTTCCCGCGCGGATGTAACTGCCTTTCCCTAACGGCTCGAAGAGCCAGTAAGATTTGCAACTAAGTTCCTCTCCATCTCCCACCCCCGCCTCCAGCAGCGCTGGAGTGTAGACAGAAATCCCAGGGGGCTGGTGCTGGTGTTGGAGACGGGGGGTGCTGTCTGGAATCTCCAAATTCCCCACGAAAGCCGGGACGTGCGATCGCAGGGCGCACGCTCCGGGACCAGGGGCGCGCGAGGCGGCCGGGTCCGACCCCCGCGTCCCCGCAGCAGGCGGCCCGCGCAGCCCCGGCCGCTCCGGGGCGCGTGGCAGGGACGGAACGGCGCCGCGGCGGGGACCGGCGAGCAGGCGGTGTAGCAGAGCCAAAGGTCTGCAACCTAGCGGCTGCTTCCCGCACGCCCTGCCCGGGTTGTCCCCGGAGCCACCGCCCCCCGGGGCGCGGGGTCCGGCCCCGGAGCCGCCCGCCGCCCGCGCGCCCCGGGGCGAGAGCGCAGCCCGGAGGCCGGCGAGCGCCGCAGCCCGCGTTCGGGCGGCGCGGCGAGCAGAGGCGGCGGCGGGTCGGTCCCCGGCTCCGGGCACAAAGAGCGCCTGCGGCCGGGGAGCGGCGGCCGCGGCGCAGGGGACGGGCTCTCCAAGTTTGCCCCCGGCGCGGCGGGGACCCCGCGGGCCGGTCCCCCCGGGCACGGGTCACGCTCGCAACTTTCAACAAAAGGAAGCTGCGGCCGCGCCTCGCTCGGCGACATCAGGCGCTCGGAGCGGAGCCCCGCGCCGGCCGCCGCGGCCACCGCGCACCGCGGGCACAAAAGCGACCCCGGACTCGCACGCAGCCCGCAGCGCGCTCACGCCCCAGCCCCTCGCGGCCCCGATCCCCCGGCTTCGCGCCCCCCAAGCCGGCAGCAGGGGGCCCCTGGCGCAGGTGAGCGCGGCGGGGCGCGGGAGAGTGCCCGGGCGCCCCCAGTCTCCCCGGAGGCTGCAAGGCTCGAGCATCGCGGGCCCGCAGCCACCTCTCCAGACGCGCCCGGGGTGCACAGCCCCTCCCGGGCGGGGGCGCGGCCCCGAGCCGCCGCGGTGTCCCACCTGTCCGGACGCGGAGCAGCAGGAGCAGCGGGCAGAGCCAGTGCCCGGCGCCGCGAGCGCCTCTCATCGCGGAGGCTGCGCGGGGACGGAGCTGCGGCGCGCGTCCCGGCTCTCGCCCGAGTGCTCCGAGCGCGGCAAAGCCGAGCCCCCAGAGCCGCGGGCGCCGCGCGGCAGCCCCTCCTCCCGCGCCCTCCCCCTGCGCGCCGGCCACGCCCCTCCCGCCGCCCCTCCCGCCGCCCCTGCCCGCGCAGCCCGGGCTCGCTCGCCCGCGCGCGGTGGCGGCGCCTGGCCCCGGCTCCTCCGACGTGCCCATCCCGGGGGGCCGCGCCCGCGCCGCCCGCTCTGGACCCCGGAGCCCCTTCCTCTCTCCCCGCCTCCCCCCTGCGCCGCGCCCTGCCCGCCCCCGGCGGCCCCCGGCCCCGCGTGGTGCCGCCCGCTGGCTTGGTGCGGCTGGGCGCCGCGCGCACTTAAGGACGCGGGCCGCCACCTGGCAGGTGCGCCCGGGACAATAAAGGTTGGCACCGCGCCCCCCCCCACCGCCAGCGCGCTCGGGAGGGGGGAGGCTGGACGCCGCGCGTGGTGGAGGCGGCGTGGGGACGCGGACTGGAGGGTGTCAGGAAATTGGGGCCCGGCATTCTCGTGCATAGCAGTGAGCAGAGGGGGACCGAGCGTGGCGCCTGGCACCGCTGCAAAAAGCCGAGCCGGGGCTTAGGTAATTCTTTACGCTCAGTTTCTCCACCTGCTCCTCTGTAACCTCCAAGAACACAGTTGGTTTCCATTGGTCGGCGTGTCCCCCGCCCGAGAAGCCCCTGTCGCCACGGTGGAGACTGGGGCGGTGGAGTGAGGGGCGGGAGGCGCCTTGCGAAGTTTGCTCTGCAGCCCGGATTTTTGCATACATTTGTCTCTGGGCGCCTTTTTTTTTTTTCTTTCTTTCTTTCCTGTTTGGTTTCTCTGCCTCTATATCGACGACAGTGACAAGACCGGGGTTCCCTGCGATCCCTTTAGCCGCCCTGGCACGCCCCAGGAGCAAAATAAAAGTAAAATGATTGTCTTAAGTCAGGTTTCACTGCCCAGAAAGTGCTCGTTCCCCCTTGCTCGTGGTGGCAGTTCTTGATTGGAAGATAATGGCACTATCTGTATATAGGGGTTTCTAGTTCTTCCCCACACTGACTGTTCTTGGGGGGTGGACAGATAGATATGTTTATTATTGTAGTTCTAAAAGTAACCCAAGATCACATGGCTAATAGAGGGGAGACCCGGGGTTTGAACCCTCATTTGAAGAACTACTCCAAGTATGGTGAGTTTTTCCTATGCATGCTGATAAACCAATACACCATCCCTCTAGAGAGCTCAAGAATGGAAAATAAATGGGATATGCCCATCAGAAAGAGAGAGAGAATAATTCAGAAGCAGCTAGACTCTTCTCTAAAGTATCACCCAAAACATACAGTTGCCCAACTCCCCCACTTCATTGAGCATTGAAATCTCTCCTGTTCGATGGAGACAGGACCCAGATGGTTTAAGAAAAAATGATTTTTAAAGCAAATCATTTAGGCCAGGCGCGGTGGCTCACGCCTGTAATCCTAGCACTCTGGGAGGCCGAGGCGGGAGGATCGGTCAAGGTCAGGAGTTCAAAACCAGCCAGAGCAAAAGCCAGACCCTGTCTCTAGTTATCTAACAATAGAAAGAAATGAATTGGCCAACTAAAAATATATAGAAAAAATTAGCCGGGCATGGCAGCTCATGCCTGTAGTCCCAGCTACTCGGGAGGCTGAGGCAGGAGGATCGCTTGAGCCCAGTGCTTATAGTGAGGTATAGGACCCCATGCCACATGTCCTAGCAGATGGCTTTAATCATACAGCTGTGGGAGAACTGAAACTCAGAAGGTCTCTGTCCTCCGGGCCATCAGATCTCGTGTTTTTCTTAGGATGACAGATAAAAAGATAGCACTCAAAGCAATCATAACTTTCTGGGAACTTGATTTATTTCTAAAATCCATTTTGTATTGAGAAAAAAAAATCACTATGAGTTAAAATATCAACGCTATGCCTGAGAGAGAAAATTTACAATTTTCTTCTTCCATCAACTGATATTGGAAAGGATAACATCTTCAAAGGAGTGGGTGAAAAGAGACCATATTGCAATTTAATTCTAGGCAAGAAACTTCTATCAGACAAAAAAAAAAAGAAACTGAATAGGGAATTATGCAATGCTGGACTGCGATTCTGTTTGGCATTCAACAAACGTTTATTGAGCACCTAGGTAGGCACAAGCTCTACGAAAGTAAGACAAAGTCCCCGCCTAGGGGAAGTTACAGTCTAGCAGGGAACACAGGCACCCAGATGAGAAACTATAATAGCTGCTAACAGAGCCACTACATTGAGCCGGCACACACCAATTTGGCAATATTGATTGGTAGAATATTGGAATCTTTCTGTATCGATTACAAAAAGCCAATCCCCAAACACCTCCTAAGTGCCTCCTAACCCACCCTTGAGACACCCAAGTCACCTTAGATCCAGCAATTAAAGGTTTAATGCCGGGCACAGCAGAGAGCCAGGGTTGTTTGCTATTTTTAATAATAATACCCCTTGCCTGTTTTGTACCGAGAGAAGGCATACAGATGAGGTACTAGGAGCCAACTGCTATAGAAACGAACTATGTCATAGATCAGCACTGTCCAACAGAGCATTCGCAATGACAGAAATGATTTATATCTCAGGCAGGATGTATGGGTCCGTTCTATACTGTATTTTGTGACAGTCCCGGGCTCTTTCCCAGTTGGTGCTGTGTGCATTTGACTATTTTCAGAATTGTTTTGATGAGGACTCTTGAAGGCAACTTGTAGAAACTCAGCTCAAACTGACTTTAAGTCAAGCAAACAAACATAAAATTTAGTGGCTCTTATAATTGCGAAGTCTAGGGATGATAGTATTTCAGAATTTTCTAGATCCAAGAACTCAAAGTCATCAGGACCAGACGTGTGTGTGTGTGGGTGTGGGTGTGTGGGTGTGTGTGCAATTGCACATTTTTCTCTGTCGTTATACTGCGACAATACTTCCCTGTGTTGCTTTGCTGTCCTTTCATATATTCAGGTGGCTCTGGGCTTACAGCTCATTAGTACTAATGGAAGCACACCTGTCCTGCCCCATAAACATCTCGTGTGAAAGTACTGAAAGTGAGTTGCACTGACCTGGCTTGGTCGCATGCCCTTCCAGAACCATTCACTGGATCCGCAAGGATGGAGTGTGACCACTGGCTGGGTCTCTGTCACACCCCCCCACTGGAGCCGGGGTTGGGAGTCTGTCTCATCCATACCACAGGGAGGGCGTGTGCCCCCCAAAAATGGAGGTACTGTCACTATAAAAAGGAGGAACGATGCTATACAAAATAGAACTAATGAGGTCTCCTAGTCTCACACAGCCAAAACCTCTAACTTGAAAAAAAAAATGTTATTATATCTCTGATTGTAAAAGTAAAGATGCTTATTGTGGAAAATGTGGAAAATACCAAAATTGTAAAGAAACAAAGAATCACCCAAGGTATAATCACTGAAGAGTTTGTTTTAGTATGTTCCTTTCTAATTTTTTTTTCTCTGCTTATGTGTGAGTTTTCTTTCTGCACATAATTAAAAATCTTATTATATTTGCTAGGTTTTCTAACCAGCTTTTTCATTAAGAACACAAGCATTGTCCCAGCTCATTAAAAATTCTTTGGAAACATAATGCATAATGACAGTATACTGTTCAATTGTATGGATGTACCATAATTCTGAATGTTTAATCATTTCTCTATTGTTTTTGTTCAGCTTTTTACTATCATAAATTTCTTGATGATTAATATCTTGGTGAATAAAACTTGCCTGCCTCTGATTATTTATTTAGTCTAGATTCCTAGAGGTTGAAATTACTACACCAAGGGTATAATCCTTTTCAAGTTTTTTTTTTTTTTTTTTTTTTGAGGCAGAGTCTTGCTTTGTTGCCCAGGCTAGAGTGAGTGCCGTGGCATCAGCCTAGCTCACAGCAACCTCAAACTCCTGGGCTCAAGCAATCCTCCTGCCTCAGCCTCCCCAGTAGCTGGGACTACAGGCTTGAGCCACCATGCCCGGCTAATTTTTTTTCTATATATATTAGTTGGCAAATTAATTTCTTTCTATTTATAGTAGAGATGGGGGTCTCACTCTTGCTCAGGCTGGTTTCGAACTCCTGACCTGGAGCAATCCACCTGCCTCGGCCTCCCAGAGTGCTAGGATTACAGGCATGAGCCACCTCGCCCAGCCTCAAGTTTGCTTTTTAATAGTCCTTGTTTTTTGGTAATCATTTGAAAGTCCTTTGTCCATAAAGTTGAAAAAAATGAATATACAATCCTCATTGTTAGACTATTGTTAGACTATCCTAGCAATAACCACCTCACAGTCTGTGAGGATGAAAGGAGGTAAAACATGGTCTTCGTTCCAGCTCTCATTCAGTGTTTATTGAACACCTTCTATGTGCCAGGTGGACTCCACCAGGTGCACTAGAATACGACGTTAGACCAGACACGGATGCTGCTTTCCTGGGATTTACAGGAAAAAAGGAGACAGAAAGAGAGAGAGAGATGTAAAGAGGGCAGTGATTATATTAAGTGCTCCAACAGAGGTATGCACGGGGCAATATTTGAACACGGAAGGCACCTAAATCATGCACATGAGGCTTCCCAAAGAGGTGACAATTAGATTCCGAGGGATCAGGAGGACAGAAGAATGGTTGAGCGCTGGGACGTGCACACGCAGACAAGTAGAGGCAGGAAGCCCCATAAGGAATAGGAAGATCAAGCTGTTCAGCAGAGTTGGGGGAATGGGGCTTGGGGGGCGGGTTGCGACCACAGACATAGACTGCAACCATATATGCCAAGAAATGGGACCTTGGTCCTCCGAGCCATGAAGAGTCACTAAAGGACTCCAAACGGGGGCCTGATGTGGTCAGATTGACATTTTGTGGGAAAGCTCAGTGAAGGATGAGTTGAAGAGGGACAGAACTTGAGGCAGGAGGAAAATGGTTAGAAGCCCAACGCAGTGATCCTCGGGGGAAGAGGGAAGCTGAGTTAAGTCCTCCGAGGTGGGAATGGTGGGAGGCGATGAGTAAGGGACATATTATTAAGTAGGCTCAG